AAAAAAAAAAAAAAAAAAAAAAAAAAAAAAAAAAAAAAAAAAGAATACAGTCTGGAGGATTTTATAAACATGTCAAGATGAAAGTCCATCATTTCAACAGGAGGCACAGGTATGGGTCATTAAGCTACATGATTCTAATGCCTAAGAAAATATTCTCCATAGCTAAGAGGAAAAGTAAGTATAAAAAGCGGTTCTCTCTGAAAGACTGGTTTGTGATAGAAGATCCTGCAATAGGGTAATACTATAAAAATAAGACAGAATACGATGGATATTTGGTACGTCCTAGCTTTGTTTAAAGTAATTATTTTCTTGAGCTTTCCAACTCTTCGTTAGCCTTTCAGAACTTAGAAAGGCTAATGAACAGTTGGAAAAGATCTTGAAATAGTTCAACTATCCCAATTCCAATTTTGCTGAGAAGAAAGAGACCCAAAAAGAACACTTAAGTTCCCCAGGATCAGAGACAAAGTTAGTACTGGATTCACTCTGTTTTATATGACTCCTATGCCTAGACTTGACTAAATCCCATAGACAGCAGTGAAAGATAAAGGGGGTCCATTGTGCATGCATTTTTTTTAAAAATGGTATTTGAGTTACTGATAAACTTATCTGGTCACAACCCCTTGTCTAAACGTCCCTTCTTAGCAGTCTAGAAGGTAGACCTCCTCCAGGGTTTTCCGTCAACGTCAGCATTCATAAGAACACTCAGTCATGTGAGTTTTCTTTTGTCTCTCCCTCTGCTTCCCCACCTTCCAGATGATAGACATGATGTACTTTGTCATCATTATGCTGGTGGTGCTGATGAGCTTTGGGGTCGCCAGGCAAGCCATCCTTTTTCCCAATGAGGAGCCATCATGGAAACTGGCCAAGAACATCTTCTACATGCCCTACTGGATGATTTATGGGGAAGTGTTTGCGGACCAGATAGACCGTAAGCAAGTTTATGATTCTCATACACCAAAGTCAGGTATTTAAATTCAATCGGGTTGTGTCTTTTCCAAGTTCATTTGTTTGTTCTCAATAAATGGCTCAAGATAGAGGACTGATTCCTAGCTTTCTATCTAGGAGGAAAAACAAGAACAATTATAGAAGGTGAATATACGATTTTAGCAAAGTAGTCCTCAGCTGTTTCTTCAGGTATGTCATGATCTGTGACACAAATCGACATCTGGTGTGCCAAATTTGATCACAAAATGAACCATTTTAAAAAAAGATCTAAATTTTTTTGTGATTCAAAATCCTAGGGTTGTGTGTTGAATATTTCAGTATCAGGAATACATGTCTCTACTCCCCCCTTCTACCCCAGCCCCCAGCCCCAGCCATTAGCAAATAAATTCCTTGAGTTCGACTTTAGAACAAATAAACAATTCTCAATTTCACCATCAAAATTCAAGAGTAAGGGCAAACATCTGCATGGTGTTTTTCTTGCACTGGAAACTATTCTCCAACTCTTTTTCCCACTGTCTTAAATTATGTGCTGTTGAGACTCATAGGAAGCTAGTATTCATTGCCTGGAAGTATGGAAAATGCCTTAGGTCATAAACTGAGTTGCTTGCTAGAAATGCCAGAAAAAAAAAGTAGTAGCTCATGATGAAATGATTCAGTGTGAGTTGTGAGTGCCAACAGGCCCCAATGTTTCATGCCCTCATGGACACTGACTCTCTGTAATAAAACTTCTCTCTTATGGAGTTTATAGGTAGTTGTATCCTAGAGTCTTTTCCAAGATTTTATTTGGACCAAATGTCAGGGTATTCCAGGCATTGGGAAATTATTTGGAAAGAAAGCATCCAAAAAGAAACATCTTTCAGTGTGGAGGAGTTGAATCCCAGGAGCAACTATTTCTCATTTTCCCTGAGGAGTGTAGCTCTGGAAATAACATCCCTTCAATACTGTTGAATTAACATTTTTCAGACATTTTTTGCTGACAGACCAGCCATCTGAGCCCCGGACTGTGGACATGGATTAGGGTTACATAACCAGGTAGTATAGCTTATGAAGAGCAGGAGCAGGCACTAGTCAGCATGCCCCACCCCCCCACCCC